GTGGCTCGTGAGCCACGTGCAGCTCTTTGGCCCCTTGAGTGTGGCTCTTCCACAAAATACCACGGCCTGGGCGAGTCTATTTTGAAGAAGTGGCGTTAGAAGAAGTTTACGTTTTAAAAAGTTGGCTCTCCGAAGAAATTTCAATAGTTGTTGTATTTGGTTCTGTGGACTAATGAGTTTGCAGACCACTGGGCCAGTTCATAGATTGATAAAGTGACCTATTACGTGGCCACTAAAAGTTAAACTTTCAAAAGCTCAGAACCATAGGATGTCACTCAGATGTGGGGTATAAAACTGAAACTCGTGAACACACAGCAGTGGGGTGGTTGCCAGAGGGAAGGGGGCGGGAGAAGGAGGGGTCCTGATATAAGGTGACTGGAAAAGACTTGACTTTGAGTGGTGGGCACAGGATGTGGTATACAGACCTTGTCACTTGGATGCCATTTGGAGACTTGGCTCATGTCACCGTGAATGTGCCTGATCCGGGTCACGACCACCCACATGATGTGGGGCCCTCAACGCCCTTCCAGCCTGAAGGCGACACAACCTTCCAAGCACCTCATCTAAGGTACCAGGCGTCCCACTTTTGGCGGGACATCTGGTCACCTTAACCTCATCCCAATTACACTGGAAATCACAAGATCCGGGGACGGCGGGAGGTGGACGGCCACTTGGCTGAAAGGCCTCCCCCTTGGGCATCTGGGTCAGCTGGCGCGGGGTCACCCAGTGAACAGTGGTCCTGGCCTCCCTAGAGCAAATCCCCCACCGCGTGCCCCGGGCTGTCCTGGGTGGGCAGGGAGCTAGGACCTCTGTTCCCTGCTTCCCAGCAACAAGGTCACCCTGTGAGGGAAGCGACAGAGGGACAGGATGGATGTGCTGCTTTCAGAAAGGGCCGGGGTTTGGGATGGAGCAGCAGGACCCCAGGAGCAGGCTGTCCAGGGAGCAGACGAGGTGAGGTCACCTCAGCCTGTGTATACGGTGGCCTCGTCCCCGGAGCTCCAGACCGTGGCGCCCATAGGAGCCGACACCTGGCCCCGGACACAAGTAATTGTGAGAAAGGTGACACCCAGGGACTCGACTCTAATTAAGAGGCAAATTAAAAATGCAGTAGCCCGTGGCATACAGGCCATGTTCAGACCTGTCAAAGGCGGAGTGAGACCTCGGTCAGCCCCGCCAGGAGCTGGATAAACACACAGACTGTTCACCCCGCTGGGGAGCGAAACTGCGACGCCAGTGAAAGCAACGAGGGGACAGATTGCTCTGCCAGTCAAATGTTTAAAGTGAATAAATCTGGGAATGGTGGGGTGGCATGGGGACTCTCTAATGGCCACCAGTGTCCCCTGTCTGGGGTGCAATTGGGCAATAATGTCTCCAGAGATTAAATATAAGCATAGACTCTCACTCTGTGTTCCCACCTCAAAAAACCCACCCCCAGGAAGTCCCCAGAGCTTTTCCTCTGCACCCAGGAGGGTGTTCCGTTCAGCTTTGTCTGTAGACAAAACTAAGGCACCTACCCATACTTCTAACAGGAGACAGGCCAGTTCATAGATTAATAAAATGACCCATTAGGTGGCCATGAAAAATCAAATTTTCAAGAGCTATGATTTCACTCAGATGTGGGATATAAAACTGAAACTCGTGAACATGCATAGCAGTGGGGTGGTTGCCAGAGGGATGGGGTGGAAGGAGAAGGGGTCCTGATATAAGGTGACAGGAGAAGACTGGACTGTAGATAGATGGTGGGCACACGGTGCAATACGCAGATCTTGTCACTCAGAAACCCACCCAAAACCTATATGTTTATATTGGCCAATGTCATCACATACATTTAATTTTTTAAAAAGCTAAATTCTTAAAGAGCTGCAAAGACAGGGAATTCTCACAACTCAATAAGAAACACAAAATCAGTATAATCTATTATCAACTTGTTTAAGAAATATGCATGTGCTTAGGAATAAAACCCAATTAAATGTAGAAAAACCTCGGAGAGTGGTGGGCTCCTGGGTGCTTTCCATTTCTCCAGCTCCCGAGTCTGCGTGCAGCCTGTTATTTCATCCTCCAGGAGATAAAACTGCTTCCGTTTTAAAGAAAAAGCAATAGGGTCATCTTGGAGTCACCAGGGGAGAGAGTTATCAGCTCCGGTCTCTTTGGCTGAACTACCATCTATTTTGTCAGTATGACCAGAAGTCCTCACTCTTCCCACCACACTGGGCTCCCCAAGTGTCTGACGTCAGAAAAGGAGAGCAGGGATTACTAGGAGATGGGGGCAGGGACCCCCCAGAGAGCCGAGGGTCCAGCCTGGCAGGCAGGTTAGTGAACTAACTGGTGAGCACCCTACCGCATGACCACTCCCCCCTTCCTAGCGAGGACTCCAAGCAGGGTCTGCCCACAGAGCCCGAGCGGAGCCCAGAATGGCCTTTCCAGGAAGCTGCCCCAGGCAGGGGCCAGGTGAGCAGTCTCAAGGCTTAGCATGTGCACCTGTGTAACTGTGCCCCTGATCCCCACTCCTTTCCGCCTTCCCTCCCTACTGCTGCCCATGCCAAGGTCGCTGGGCATGAGAATTAGTTCCCTTCACTCTCCTAGTCTGTGTGTGGGCCACACGTGGCTGTGGCTACAGAGGGAAGTGGAAGAGGGACCTTAGCTATTCAGTCTTCCGCAGGGACCTGCATGTGCCCTTCCAGAGATGGGTACAAGCATCATCCTCATTTTACAGATGAGGAAACTGGGGTACTGCAGTGAGAAGTAGAGGCAGGATTTGAACCCAGCAGCTCAGTGCCAGAGTCCGGGCTCTCAGCCACGCTGCCCTGCACAAGTGCAGGAGAAGGTGGGAAGGGGGTGTCTGAGGTTACAGAGCGCCCATTCTGAGCTAAGCATGGCTGGGCCCTGATGGAGCTGATCTCATGTAAACACGGTGTGGGATTCGGTCACTGCGTGCTGAGGTTAGAGGTGGGGAAACGGAAGCTCAGAGAGGTCGGAGACATGCTAGGATCACACATCTGGGAGGAATGGCGTTTTACATTCACACTGCTCCTTCCTTCCACCCACACGATCTGGTTTTGATCCCCAAAATCACCAATTCAGACTACCCAGCATTGCAGGTGCCAGTTTCAAGCAGGAGGAAGATGAGTGGCCCACCCAGAGTCACCCAGGTTTAAGCGAGGCCTCAAGCCTGTGTCTACAGACTCCAAACCAAGGTCCCTGTAGAGACCTCCGAGGCCACCGTAGACTTCAGAGATGAGAACATGAGGCCGAAGGACAGGTGGCCGGTTCAAGGTCACAGCCATCGATGGCAGCACAGAGGATGAAACCTACAGATCCTGACCCCATAACACCTAGCCCTCACTCGGATGACAATAAGAGCTCAGTGAACCGTGGGGGTAAAGATGCCAAGTCTGTGGGGGAGCAGAGGTGGAAACCACCAGAACTGAGGCACACCCCCATTCCACAGTGAGGTCTTCCCGCCTCCGGGGCAGCTTGTGGTGGGGAGCGTCTGGGGAGCCCGGCCCTTGAAGGAAGGCGAAGTTTAAAGCTGGGGAGTCTGGCCCTGGCCGGTTTGGTTCAGTGAATGGAGTGTCGGCCTGAGGACTGAAGGGTCCCAGGTTCAATTCCAGTCAAGGGCACATGACCTGGTTGCGGGCTCGGTCCCAGTGGGGGCACCTGCAGGAGGTGGTCGATCGGTGGTCCTCTCTCACCATTGATATTGCTATCTCTTTCTCCCTCTCTGAAATCAATAAAAATGTTGTTTTTTTTTTTTTTTTTTTAATGAAGCTGAGGAGTCTGTACCTTTTAGGGCTTTTTTATGGGAGAGAGCCTGCCTGGGCTTAAAGTGGCAGCTCAGAGCCTTGCACCTGTGAGGAGAGACCGGTCCTGCCTGGGGGGGGGGGGGGGGGGGAGTGCTTAGTCAGTGTGGAATTAATGCGTGAGCACAGGTATCTGGGGTGTAGGTGAGTTACACCCTGAATCCTCAGTACATGGAAAAAGGATCTATAGAAGCTAAATCCTTTTCGATGTCACCATTTATAACGTGTGCCACACAGCTCTGGCTCCTGTTCTACCCAGAGCCTTAGATAGGTTGAGGTGGAGCCGGGCACTGGAGTCCCTGGCTGAGCCCCACGGTAGGCTGGGACCCCTGAGGGCAAGGACACTCTGCCTGCTCCCTGCCTGGGGCTCTTCCCTGTGGGTGCTGAGGTCCCTTCCCTCTCAGCTCTGCCTTTGCTTCCTTCCCACTGGCCTTCACCGTGCTGTAACTGCCGGCCTGGTGCTCCTGTCTGCAGGTGGGGGTGCATGTGTCTGCCACCCCGAGAAAGGCGCACCAGGAAAGGGAAGGGTGCACCTGCTCACATTTTTGATGGTTGAGTTCATATCTGGGCTGCAAAATCACAGAACCTGGCTCTCCGGGAGCTGCCATTGTCCCTCACCAGGAATATCCTCACCCCGTTAGAGAGAAGGGCCGGCTGGGAGCTGAGAAACACTGCTGCTCAGGCCCTGCAGGCTGCTGGGGAGTTCTTAGCGGCTGGTTCTCGGAACTTTCAGAGTAGTGAGAATGCGATCAGCCGTTTCCTATCAGGAGGGCTCGTTCCATTTAGAAGGGGTTAAGTCACCACGCCCACCAGCGCTAGGACCTGGAGGCCCATGAGGCGATTTAGCTGACGGAGAAATGACAGATCTCTAACTCTGGAAAGTGGGTTGTTGGAGAAGGGGGTGGGGGTGGAGGCGGAGTATAGCATCAGGGCCCAGAAATTGGAGAACCCAGAAGTGTCCCTCCCCAGCCCCCTTCCCCAGCAGATTCCCAGAAAAAGTTCAGGCTAGGAACTTGCGAGGTTACAGCCCTGGAGCAGTTCTCATCCTGTGGTCCCTCTGAGCACCCAGACCTCTTCCCGCTCCACCCCAGGCCCCCCGGGCTGCGGTGGCCTCGCCCAGCCCCTTCCCCCCTCCTTTTCTCCCCCAGCCCCTTCCCCCTCCTTCCCCCAGCTCCAGCCCAGCCCGGCGGCCCGGCTCGCCTTTGGGCAGCTTGGACGCGTTCTCCTGGATCCAGGCGAAGAGGTGGGCGAAGTCGCAGTCGCAGAGCCAGGGGTTGCCGTCCAGGCGCAGGGAGCGCAGCGCGGGCAGCGCGGCCAGGGCGGCCACGCTGAGGCCGCGCAGCTCGTTGCCGTGGAGCTCCAGCACCTGCAGCGACTCCAGGCTCTCGAAGGCCGCCTCGTGCACGCCCTGCAGGCGGTTGTGGGCCAGGCTGAGCCGCACCAGCCCCGCGGCCGAGCGGAAGGCGCCGGCGCCCAGGCGGCTCAGGTTGTTGTGGCTGAGGTCCAGGAAGGCCAGCCGGGCCGAGCCGCGGAACGCGCCCTCCTCCAGCGCGCGCAGCGAGTTGTTGCCGAGGTCCAGGTACACCAGGTCGCCGTGCAGCAGGAAGAGGTCCTCGGGGAGGCGCTGGATGCGGTTGCCGGCCGCCAGCAGCTTGCGCACGTCCAGCGGGAAGGGGTCGGGCACGCTGGGCAGCCCGCGGCCGCGGCAGTCCACGGTGAGCGGGTCCGGGCAGGCGCAGCCCGCGGGGCAGGCGCGCCCGGGTCCGAGCAGCAGCAGCAGGAGGAAGAGGCCGCAGAGCCCGAGCAAGGCGGCGGGGGCGCGGGGGGCGGCGCGGGGGCGCATGGCCGGACCCCGCGAGCCGCGGCGACGCGGACCGGCTCTCCGGACGGCAGGACAGCGGGGCGCCGGGAGCCGGAGGGCGGCGGGGCGGGGAGGGCGTGAGCCCTGACGCGCGGGGGCGGACTTGGGGAGCTCGGAGCGGAAGGGACGGAGCGGAGGGGGGGTGAGGATGGAGGGGGGGAAAGAGGAGTCGGGAGGGAGGGGCGAGGGACACTCCTGGAAGGATTTCCCAGGACAGGAAATTAACCCGCCGTTAAATCCCGGGGGAGAGACGGGAGGGAGCGGCGCGGGTGGCCAAGTGGTGGTCGCCAAATGCGGCCCCACCGGGACGGCTTACTTGGGGACCTGATCATCGGAACTGTCAGCTGTCGTGTGCGCTCGGCCAGGAGCCCTCGCCGACTAAGCTCGGTTATGGAGCGCACCCCAGCCCAGCTGGTGCCCAGACCCCGAGCCCGGCGCCCCGCGCCCGCCAGGTGCCAAAGCACGCTCCCCGCGCCACCCGCTGCCAAAGGGAGCGCAGCCCGGGTCACTGTGGCCCGGCGCCCGGAGCGATCCCGGCAGGCTCTTGGCGGGGGGCGCGACCCGGACTGCCCATGGGGTTGGGCAGGGCCCCAGAGGGTGGCTGTTCTTCCTCCCTCCCACCCCTACCCCAATCTCAGCGAGGCCTGCGGGGTCCTGGAGGCTGGCAGCTGCCCGAAGCCCCGCTGTGGCCAAAGGAAGTCCAAGGCCAGTCAGCACTTTCCAGGTTGGCCCCTGCTCCTCAGGAGCGCGCAGAGGCCAGTGCGGAGCCGCTGCTGGACTAGGAGGTCCACCCGAAGGGGTGGGGGCTGGTGTAAGGAGGCCTGGCTCCCGTGCCTGGGGCCTCCTATCTCTGCACCCACCAGTCCTATGCCTGTCACCAGCTATGGAGGACCACCACGGGGTCAAGAACCCGAATTAAAAAAAACGATCTCTTCCCTCTTAACGTTCACTCCTCCCCCACCAACTCCAGCTTTGGGTCCCAAGGAAGCAGGTCAGGGAGGTGTCAAGGCTGAAAGGACAGCAAGGCAGGTAGGTCACCTCGCTTCAGACACAAGATTCCCCTCCTTCCCTCCCTCCCCAAGCCAAGCTCCTCCTCCCCGCTCTCTATTTAAGAAACTTCCAAAGCAGAGATTCCCCCCGCCCCCTCCCAGCCACCCCGCTGCGGGCTATTTTGGTCCAAATACCCTGGAATCGATAAGCTGGACAAAAATAACCCCGAGAGCAGCTGTTGGGCAACCGCCCCAGGGACCCTGCCCTGGCCCCCTCGCCTCCCCCATGCGCTTTGGTGGAGGCTCAGATGCTAAAGCCACGGAGCTAAGCCCCGGCCTTTTTCCAAAGGTACATGGAATCTCGGTGCCTCCTGGTGGATCAAAACCCTGAGCCTCTGGGTCTGAGCCAGCGGCTCCACAGATGAGGAGTCTCAGGAGCCCTGGGGAGCAGGGGGGGTGTCGGGGGGGAGCTCTGAGCCACGGGGGTCCTGCAGCTCTTTCCCTGCCTCCATGCCAGACCCCCTGAGGCTTCTGGGGGTGTCTCCTCTCTTCCGGGTTCCCCAGCTGCAGGGGCTCAGCCCCCTCTCTGGTCTGTCTCCTCCTCTTGAAGAGGCAGGTGCCAGAGCAATGGTCTGATCCCCTCAGAGGGGGTGAGAGTGCCCCCTGCACACACGATACATAGTAATGATCTGTGAAGCCTCCACTTTTGCAGTCCCGGGCCTGGTTCCCATCACTTACTACTATTGATTATGGCCGGAGCCCTCAGCATCGTTGCTTCCACTCGCCTGTGTTCTGCTGGGCTGCTGCCTTACACGCGTGTGCCCTGTGCCTGTGTGTTTGAGTGTGGACAGCACTGCCCAGTGTGTCTGAGAGTGGACAGCCATGCCCAGTGGGCTGCTTGGCTGGAGCCCTGGCCTGGGCGTCAGGCCCCTGGCCCCACCGCTAGCCACAGCGCCTCTCCTGGGCCACTGCACCTCTCTGGGCAATAAATACTTCCCGGCCCGGGGTCCCTGGGCTCCTGGAAGGTAAACTTTTCAGAATTTCACACAGTGCGGTGGGAACCGGGCCTTCGCCTCTGAGGAAGTCACCCTGAGGAAATGCTGCTACTTAGGGCAATGGGCTCAGGGTCGCCCTCATTCTTTGGTGCTGGGCAGAAACCGGCTCATGGGTGACTATGATGAATGAAAACAGCTGAATCTCTATTTAATAAATGCAGAGCGTTTAGCAAGGGCTTGCAGACGGAGGGGGGGGGGGGGGTGGTAGTAAAATAATAAAAGGGGTCCCTGGTCGTTAAAGTAGTGAGAAAAGCCACTCTCTCTCGGCCTTGATGCCCTCATCTTGAAACTAGAGAGAAAATGCCTTTTCTCTCCTCCCCCTGCACCCCCATCCCCCCCTCCCCAGTTCGACCACAGGCAGCTCAAGGCCCACGTGGGAACCAGTGCTGTGGAGTATGATCTGAAAAATGTTCGTGACACGCTGCATGTGAAAGTGGCCATAAGTCTTGCTTCTTGCTTTGGGTGTCCCCCCCCAAAGTCCCCCAAATTCAAACTGAAGCAATTCTCATCAATATCAGCAGGAGCAGACGTGGCTGAGGTTCTTGGGGAGCAGGGAGGACCCCATCTTCCAGGATTCGCATCCCTTGGGAAATTGCGAGCTTTGCCACGTCTGTTTTCCCCTGCAAGGAAAGCGTGGCTGTGACCTCAGCAAGGTCGCACGGTGAGCCAGTGACAGCTGCTGGAAATAGAACACAGGCGTCCTGACACCCCAGCTGCTCCTCTCCTGGCTCCCTCCCTCCCGGGCAGGGGCCTCTCCCAGCTCCTGATCAGCGTGAAGGAACCGGGCAGGTGGCTGGAGGGACCGTCAGAGGCTGGTCAGCTCCAGGCTTGCATTTATTCTCAGAATCAACACAGTTTGTGCTTCTCATTCAGGAAGCTCAAAACCCAAGGTGTCCTGGTGTTTTCCAAGCTGACATCACGCCTTCCCCAACTGGCCAAGCTGAGTCCCCACCTCTGCCCTGTGCTCCCCTAGCTACAGAGCACTTGCTGTCTCGTCTCATAAATGGCCCGTGTCCAACTCCCCGTGAAGCCTTGGGGAGCTGTGTGGACGGTGGTACCCACAAAATCCCCCATGTGGAGCCTAACCCCTATAAGCAAAAACAATCCAGCCCTAACTGGTTTGGCTCAGTGGATAGATCATTGGCCTGTGGACGGAAGGGTCCCAGGTTTGATTCCAGTCGAGGGCGTGTACTTTAGTTGTGGGCACATCCCCTGAGGGAGGTGTGCAGGAGGCAACTGATCTATGTTTCTAACTCTCTATCCCTCTCCCTTCCTCTCTGTAAAAAATCAATAAAATATATATATTTTTTAAAATCCATTCAGACTGACCCCTAACTTAGCCAAAATTCAAGGCCCTACATTATAAACAAGGCGATGCCGGTATGGCTCATGCAGGAGTATGAATGCCGCTGCGGACACCAGGTGTGAGTGATGAGTGTGGCTGGTGCAGGTGATGTCATTTGGGTTACCCACGTGATGAGCACCTGGCTGGCCTAGGTGGGAGCCAGGAGAACACTCCATGGGCTCTAGGGAAGGAGATGCACTTTGACCCTCTGCCTGGGGCAAGCTGACTTGATAAACCCAGTCTTCATGGACACAGCTTTCTCTCTGTGTCCACCTCCCCCACCCCACCCCCTAATCAACTTAGCTAAACCCAGGCTCAAGTTCTCACCCACTGCTCTTCATCGCTGCCACCACCAGGGGGCGCTCTCTGCTGCCGCAGTAAAACACGTTTTGCTCTGCTCCTCTCTGGCAAGCCAGGATCCACTCTTGAGAATGAAAGCTGCTGCCCCTTTTTACTCCTGGGGGCAGGAGATGAATATGCAACCAGCCTTAATGGGGGGCAGGGTGGTGGTATGGTTAGGAACTGTGGACTTGGAGTCAGACAGACCCGGGTCACATCCTGGCCCGCCCGTTCACAGACTCTGTCCCCCTGGGCAAGTGAGCTTCTCTAAACCTCAGTTTTCCCATCTGGGAAGTGGGAAATGCCTACATCACTGGGTTGTTAAGAGGATTAATTGAGACATCTGTGAGTGCTTAGCAGCAAGACTGACACAGAAATGGTAACCACATTATCAAGCTCTTGCCCGGCTGGCGTGGCTCAGTGTTGAGCATCAATCTATGGACCAGAAGGTCATGGTTCGATTCCCATCAGGGCATCTATCCGCTGTGTAGGGATTACAGGCTCTATCCCCTGTGTAGGGTGTGCAAGGGGCAGCTGATCAATGGTTCTCTGTCATCATTGATGTGTCTATCTCTCCCTTCGTCTCTGAAATCAATAAAAATATATATTTTTAAAAATGATCAGGTTCTCTCTATCTTTTCGCCAATAGCGGTAAAGATGCATTTGTCTCTCTGGAGTTTATTGGTTGGGGATGCCCTAACATTTGAGGTGAGCTTTAGTAACTCTCCCTGCCCTGAACCTTGTCCCACCTGAGACAGAGGGACAGATGGACACAGACACACCCCTTAGTTCTTTCCTGCCTTTGTGAGCACAGTTATAGGTGAGCGCCCTCCCGCTCTGCCCCTGCTCACTTGGTTGCTCTGAGCATGGTCAAACTAAGACTGAGGGCATGGGGTTGGTCCCTCAGCCCGGCACAAGGCGACATCTGTTCTCTGCTCACAGTTGGTGCTCCTCGTGTGAGCTAGTCATCCAGCAAATGTGTGACCTCAGGTGGGGCTGGAGGAGGTTGGCGATAGTGTCACCCTGTCTTCCCAGGAGGAGACAAGCACAGAGCACACATCCTGAGAGTCAAAGGCATGTTACCCACCGGCAGGAGGCACATGTCACAGCCAGTCCAGGAGTCATCTGCTTCCCACTCACTGGCCCCTGGCTCCTGTCCACTGGCGAAGCCCCTCGAACCCCTTTTCCTGCCTCTCCATGGTCACCCCCTTAGTCCCAGCTGGCATCATCTTTTACTGAAATCCCCTACTGGCC